AAATGACAGCAATTCACTCATTGTCAAATGTTTCTTTACTTGCTGTACATAGTTAGAAAAAGTCAAACTTTGTCTGAATTTCTCTCATCAAGCTTCTAATGTCTGACCAAAATCAAAATGTGTTTAAGAGCTGCATGTGACTTTTATTGTCTCATATGCTTAGTTTTGCTGTGAAAATACTTGCAGCTCTCCTTTTCTTGATTCTCAGACTAGCTAAGCAAGTAGTATGTACCTTATCAGTCATGGAAACTTGAGAATCATCTTAATAATTGAGAAACACTTGTTTATATTGGGTAAAAAGTCAGTGCTATAATACAGAGTATTAACTTTTTACATTAATAGACATTAATGTTGAACAGTTTTAGTCCAAAGTAGAAAGAACTTCGACTCATACGATTTGATTAGAAACGTAGGAAATAAATACTGCTGCAGATTGCCCAGAAATTTCTGGCTACTTTAGCAAATGCAGGTTTTCAGAATCATCTTTATATGCAACAAGCTTATTCTTAAAGATTTTTTCAAAGTCTGTTAAGTAGTTCAGTAAAACAGAGTTCCTGTAATCTGTTTCCTGTTATGTACAAAGTCATGGAAATGCTGAATCCTGACTTCACATTTGCTGACAGGGTTACTTTCATTTCCATGAGAAAATCATTGCAGTTAGTTCTTGATGAAGGGAAATGAAAGGTCTGTTTGCCCTCACTTTCCATGACTTAATTTATTTTGTATGCAAAGTTGATTGGTAGTGTCCATTGTAGGCTTTTTTAAATGAAGTGTTTACTTGTATTTGAAGTCTTGTTTCCTCTTAGTGCTTGCTGTCAGGGGACATCCATACTACGAAGACAAAAGAGCGCTATTATGGCAGTGTAAAATGGGAAATCTCAACAAGAACACCAGCTTCTGAAGGAAGAGTTTTGTTAGCTCTAGGGAAGAAGGAGAAAACTGCTAATGAGCTTCAAAGTAATTAAATGGAGCCTAGATGGAGAGGGGACCACTTACATTTTGCATTCTCATATGCAGTTTTACAGTTGTTTTCTGTTGAGTAATGATGGAGATCCACCTCAACAGGTGGTGTTTTACCTGCAAAATGACATCAGAATGGTCTTTCAGACCGATCTGGAAGTCTGTTGCATAGAACTTGATGTTATACATGACAACAGAGGTTCCTCTTTCTCCAAGATGCAACTTCTAGAAGAATCTGCACCTGACTTCACTGTCTGTCTGTCATAGCAGTGGATGGTAATTGCTTCAGAATGGAAGTGGGAAGTCTCATCAGTTCCCTCTGCTACCTGCTGCATTTGTTTGTTTTTAAGTAGGCCTATACTGGGCTTCTAGTGATCCCAGCTGTTAGTGTTTCCACCAGGAAGGAGCAGGTAAAAACACATAAGGAAGAAAAATTGGCTGGATGCACAATTTCGATGTACAGTATTTTATACAATGTGTGTGAGGAGGGGCAGTGTTGAGGAAAACCAGCCAAAACACAAATAAACAGTGTTGATGACATATGTACATGTTGGACCATACAGACTTGGGTTTTTTAAATTTAACTATTTTTTTCTCTTAGCCACAGCATACATCTCTGTCTTTATCCTAAATACAGAACCTTAACTCTGATGTTTATTGTATAAATTATTTGAGCTACTTTTCATGAACATAACTACCAGATGAAGGAATTGTGGATAGGCCATATAGCTTTTCCTAAGCAGAAAAATGTCTGCTCTCTGCACTGAGATGCTACAATTTGACGTAGGTACACGTGTCTGCAAACACTCGTAGAAGATAATGTAATTTATTGAATTGTCATCAGGTTAATCATCAGAACTCTTGATTATGGAAATTATTGAACAGTTTTGTAGTCTAGATGTTTGTGCTTATACGTGGAACCGGATATTGCTAAGATAGGCTACATTTCACATTATATTCACAAGTGAAAACATGTCTTTTAGTTGTGTCAAGCTTAAACCCTACAGACCCTCAAATCTGGGAGTCTGCTTTGGACTTGCTTCTTTGTTTAAACCTTAATATATTTTTTGCATAGCCTCTTAGCCTCTAATAACTACTGTTAATATATAAAAGATGTAGCTTTCAAGGGACTTTTCTTAATTGAGGAAAGTATCTGTTCTGTTTCTCTGTTGTGCTTTCTGCTATTCAATGTGAAGTCATGAGCAAGAGTAGGACTGGTTAGAAAACTTAATTTAAGTGGAAAAATTAGTTCCTTTGCAGCAACTTTCAGTTACAGTTAAGGAATGAGATGATGATGAGAACTGGTTGTTCTGGTTCATTCCATTCTCTAAAGGTTTGCAAAGTTATGTTTCTGATGGGTTATCAACCATCAGGAAAGCTGCAGCCAGAGGCTGGGTCATGGCTGTGCTACCCTTCCTGTGTTTCTAAAGTGGCAGGAAATTTCTGGAGCTCCGGTATAGAAAAGTGCCCATTAAAGCTCCCATTATGAAAAGTTCAGAAGCAGTCTGCGTTCAGCACGTTTTGATCAATGTATTGGTTTCACTAGAAGAAACATCTTAAGGCAAAGAGAAAGAACATTTCATAAAGGATAATTTTATTAGTTTTTCTGGAAGAAATACCTAACGTTTATTTGTCAATGTTTATCTCCAAATTTGGGTACAGTAACAACTTTGGAGTAGTTAAATAATAATTTTATTTTGTATTCTAATTGAAAATTTTGTTGAGGTCTTAATTATGGAGTTGTTCTGTTGTTTCTGAAATGCAGTGACATTCAGGGTTTATATTGCGTAAATACAGAAAGTTAATAAGCTACCTATTAGTGCACCAGTACTCAACATTATTGTGGGCTTCAAAATACGAGGAAAAATGGTTAGGTAAGAGTAAATGGGGAAATAAACTGTTTACACTGGTACTTGAAAGAGTAAGACAACATTAAAAAAAAATAAATTACATTTCCTACTAATTGGTGTTCTTTTCCTTCTTTTGTTTTTCAAACTTATAAAAACCTTACTCTATAGATAGTCTTTTTAGTTACCTGTCTTTTTATTTAGTTCTGCTTGTAGTTTTTATAGACCTTTCTTAATTGCACTTATGCTAAACTGATCCACATTTTGATGAAATTTTTCAGGTTACTACTTTCCGCAGCCTTAGGAACTGTGATTTTGTAGGTGTTTTTTCTTATTGTTCATTCTGTTAATTTGGTTTTGTTTTCTCTTGTGTTTGAAAGGAATAAAGCAAATAATCCTGGCTAGTAATCTGAATTAAATTGCCTTCAGTCATCTGTTACTTGTAAATTTATGTGTCTGTGTGGTGTCCTTTACGGCAACTTGCTATATTATTGACTGATGTATTATCTAGTGCAGTTAACACTTAACAGAAGTGGGCCTACTGCTGTGGCTGTTCCAAAGTTCTTCCATCCACCCATGGCTGCTTCCACTTACTTAAGCTGGCAGATCCCTTGTGCCTGCCTTCTCCTTGCTCCTACCTCTTCTGCTGAGCAATGCAGATGTTCATGTCCTCATAGTGATCTGGAGCACCGATCTTTATTTTTATTTGCCAGCTTTATTTTTCAGCTCTACAATTTCCCTGATCAGGTGCACCTTATCGCTGCACAGACTTGTCCAGAACAGAAAGGGCAGAATTGTTTGGAGGAGTCTATGACCAAACCTTCAGGCTTCTCTCACTGGAGATGTAGAGCTGCTGTTGTGAAAATTCCAGGATTTTAGGAAGGATGTTAAGATCCTTGAATGCATCCAGAGGAGGGCAACAAAGCTGGTGAAAGGGCTGGAGAGTGTCCTACGAGGAGCAGCTGAGGACTCTGGGTTTGTCTAGTTTGGAGAAAAGGAGGCTGAGGGGCGACCTCATTGCTCTCTGCAGCTCCCTGAGGAGGTCAAGGTGCTGAGCTCTTCTCCCTGGGATCCAGTGACGGGACGTGTGGGAATGGCTTAAAGCTGCACCAGGGGAGGTTTAGACTGGACATCAGGAAGCATTTCTTTACCAAGGGAGTGGACAAACACTGGAACAGGCTTCCTGGGGAGGTGGTTGATGCCCCCAGCCTGCCAATGTTTGAGGCATTAGGACATGCTTTAACTTCTGGTCAGCCCTGAAGTGGTCAGGCAGTTGGACTAGATGATCATTGGAGATCCCTTGCATCTGAACTATTTTATTACATCTTTCTTTCCCTTCCACTCTGAACATGCATGCAGTTCTCCTGAGGTCATGCTTCTGCATCTTCTGTAGCAGCAGTGTTATGGTTCTGAAGCTTTTGTCAGGAAGGAGTAGAATGGATAGTTCGACAGCAGAACTTTTATTGTAGCAGTGCTATTATGCTGTGCCTTGCCTCGCCTTCCTTTCATTTCTATTGTTGCTTCCTCCTGTCTGGAGGAAGTTCACCATGGTGCCAGAGGTGATAAGCTGGCTAAGTTTATTAATCAGTTTTTAGGGCAGTGTCTCAGTTCTGATGGTGAGGTACACCTTACACGTTGCAAAATGTTACGTCTTAAAACTACATTTAAGAATAGTCAAGGGGAAGCTACCTGTGAGAAGGAAGAGATTAATGATTTTTTTTTAACAGATTTTACAAAAAAAAAAACAGAGGAAGATACATTAAGTGTGAAGAATTGGGGAAGCAGGATGTCCAGTGATCCCACAGTGTGAATTTTAGTTCATGGAAAATAATGAAAAATATGAGAGAATTAAGAGAGAGTACAATGTTAAGTATGTATTTAATAAGATGGGAAATAAAAGAATGCAAGACCTGCAGAAGTCTAGAAAATAAATGGCTTTGAATGTAGCCTAGAAATATGAAATAAGAGTTATCATTAGAAGGGTAGTGTTAATTGCTGAGGTGATTTTAGTTTGTTTTACACATAGAGGATTGAAGGGAACCAGCAGTAACTGGTAAAAAGCTGAAGCATTACAAATCCTTCACTTCATGGAACTTGATCAGTTATTAAAATGTATAGGTTCTATATGCTTTGTTCTGTAATTGCTTTATCATATTGTGTTTCATAGTTCTACTTTCTTTTTATTATCTTTAGGGAGAAAGGAACAATGGCTTTGATGTCCTCTATCACAACATGAAACATGGACATTTGTCAACAAAAGACTTGGCAGACTTTATAAGAGAAAGGTAAGTATTCATCTTTGATATTCCTGGCTCTTCTGTTTGTGGTTTTTATTTAAGTTTATCATTATGTTTAACAGTAACATGCAAAATATGTAAAAATGAGTGAGCATTTTAAAATGTCTCTTATATTCTACAAGAATGTTTAGGTTTATTCCATTCACTTAGAACTGAATAGTGACTTTTAAGCATAAATTAGTGACAGGCTTCTGATTTTTCAGGCTTTAATTAAAAAACAAGAGTAAAAAGCTAGGAGTATCACATTAGGTGTACAGCAGTTTAATTAAATTAATCCCAATTTTTCATTGTGTTTGGAAGGAAAGTAATAATGTAAAGTAGCAAAAATTATCAGTCTTACAAAGTTTTTGACCATAGATATAGAATTAGGGTATTAACAACCACTAGTATGATCTTAAAAAATTATACTTTCAAATTCAGACATTGAGAAACTAGGTTTGTTAAAGAAAAGGGAGTGATAAGTAGGGGCAATAAAATAATATGCAGAAAATAATGTAGGTTCTTCTCCATGAGATAAAAGGGGCAGAACTGAAATCTGCAGATATGACAACTTCCAGAACAGATGACCTAGTGCTGGTTTCTGTTCTCCTTTGTTAAAGGAGACTGCTGTTGCTACGTTAAACATAAGAATTTCCATTCTGAATGAAGTTTATTGTATGTCTGCTTCAGAATTTTGTCTTAATTCAGTTACTGACACCAGATGATGTATGGAAAAGACTTGCACAAGACTGACTGAGGACCTATTTCAGTGAAGATTTATTGCAGTAAAAGCAGTACAAAAAACTAGCTTTTATTTTCTGGAATTTTTCATCAAAATCTCAGTTTTGGCCTCAAATATATCTCAACAAAGAATTTCTTTGAAATTCCACAAAGTATGACCAGCACAAATCTGGCAGGTAGTCATTTGCACTGACATTTGTATAATTTCGAAGTGAATTGGAGAAAATTACAAAAATCTTTCCACTGAGCAGAAACGGGTGAGTCCCAGAGTCCACGTGTGATGGGCAGTCTCTTGTTGGAAGGACTATACAACCTAAGGAATCTTGTGTTCGAAGAATCCCTGATTCCAGAGAACACATTATGAAGCCAGACAGCATTCCAGTGAAATCCTATGTTGGATTGAGCAGAGGGATATCACAATGTTCATGTTTAGTATGAAATGCTTAAGGCTTCACAAGCTTGTACTTTTAATATTTACTGTTACAAATGTTTGCCTCGTTATCTTTGTGAGTGGCTGGATCTCTCCTTTGAAACCTGCTTTGATTTTTGGAATCACTGTTTTTATAGCACTAAGTCATAGACTTAAACTGTACATCACCTGGACACATTTAATTTTATTAGTTTTACATCAGTTGCATCTTGATTTACCTCCATATTTAGATCAGAAGTGCTCTCACTCACTGCTTCTTACCTCCTTTATGTTGTATTCTTTGGGCATGCTCCATTTTATTCACATTGGCTTTAAGGAGAAAGGTCTTAGGTAAATGGGTAAAAATAACTTGATGTTGTATCTTGGCTTAGATTCTTTGCTTTATTATAGAGACATAAATAAAACTTGACAGTTTATTCTACACAAAATTCCTATTACAAACAAAGTGATGTTCTAGTATAAAATATTTTTCACTCTAAGTTCCTACAAATTAAATTTTAAATGAGATGTGCCTTTGCAAACAGTAAATAAAATATCTGGACCTTTCTCCATGCATTAAAAAAGTTTCCACTGAAGTTTCTGCTAATTAATTCTATTGATGTGTAAAGAAGGAGACATTTTTTTTCTCAGTTAAACAAGTTTAAATAATGTTTAAGATTAAAAGTTGATGACAGTGTAGGAAAACATGAGAATTCACATGGGCACTTGATCCTGAGTGAGTGATCAACAAATTTATTTTCTGTTCTTCTGCATGGATCAGGGTGTGCCAAAGAGACATGCAGCCATCTCTTTGGTAAAATATATGAAAAAAATCAGTTCTTATTAGCACATGGAGGTTCACTAGAATCTTGGTGCTACATTTTAATTTATTTGACAAGGCTTCAATATAGTTCCTTAAAAGCAACTTGCCCAGGAATTGGAAAACAGCTGTCAGTGATGCAGACCAGCAGCAGTAAGTTCAGTTGTTTCCAATGGCTTTCTCACATCAGGATATTAAACCTGGTATCCTATCTGTTCCATTGTGTTTTCTACAGCACCACTTTACTGATGAATCTCAGTACGCCAGGCTGGCATTAAAAAAAAGCAGTTGAATGCCAAATAGGTACTTCTTTTCAAGTGAGAGGTGCATCACTGATAAATCATAGCCTAAGCTAGTGGTATTTTGTTGCATATAGTTTCTAGTTTCAAAGAAATAGATGGACTTTAAATATTTGTTGTTCTTACTTTAGTAAAAATGTTTGAGTGTCCATATCTAGGCAGTAAAGTCCTTCACTACCATTGTGAAGTTACTGTGTGATGTCAGTTGATTTCCCAGGAAGTCAGTATAGTTCAGTAGCACACATTTATTCACATAGGTCAATTTTTTTATCTCAGAAGAAATTGGATTGAGCAATACTTCAACAGTATTTTACAACAGTTCAATTGTTTTGACCATGTTCTATTTTTCATCTTTGAATATTGCAAAGAAATTAAGACACACAATTATCTGTAGCACAAAATTATCTGTTCCCTTCCTTCCTCCACAGATTATAGTCTGAATACTGTTTTGCAGTGCTGTGTTCTGCTAGAAATATTTAAGTGGATGAATAACATTTATTAGGAGCCTCCTAAATCTAGTGGGTTTATGTGCTTTTATATACCCAATTTTCTGAAATGATCCCTATGAAAACTAAACTTACATGCATTTGAACTTTCTTCATATCCATCCTTCTATTACCTTTCAACATACTGGCTTTTTTTTTCAGAAGTGGAGACATAGAAGAGTGAAAACTGAAAACTGCTGGATAGGTAGAGGAGACAGATCTGAGTTGGTGATAGAATCATAGAATAGAATGGTTTGGTTTGGAAGGGACCTTAAAGATCATCTAGTTACAACCCCCTGCCATGGGCAGGAACACTTTCTACTACACCAGGTTGCTCAAAGCCCCGTTCAACCTGGCCTTGAACCCTTCCAGGGAGGGGGCAGCCACAGCTACTCTGGGCAACCTGTGCCAGTGTCTCACCACCCTCACAGGAAATAATTTCTTCCTTATATCTAACCTAAATCTACCCTCTTTCAGTTCAGAACCATTACTCCTTGTCCGATCACTACACTCCCTGACAAAGAGTCCCTCCTCACTTTTCCTGTAGGCCCCCTTTAAGTACTGGAATGCTGCTAGAAGGTCTCCCCTGAGCCTTCTCCAGGCTGAACAACCCCAATTCTCTCAGTCTGTTCTTGTAGGGGAGGTGCTCCACCCCCTGATGGTTTTTGTGGCCTTCCTCTGGACCTGCTCAAGCAGGTCCGTGTCCTTCTTATACTGGGGGCCCGAGAGCTGGACACGGTACTCCAGGTGGGGTCTCACGAGTGCAGAGTAGAGGGGGAGAATCCCCTCCCTTGACCCGCTGGCCACACTTCTCTTGATGCAGCCCAGCTCATGGCTTTCTGGGCTGCGAGTGCACATTGCTGCTCATAGTCAGTTTTCCATCCACTAATACCCTCCAAGTCCTTCTCCACAGGGCTGCTCTCAATTTGCTCATCACCCAGCCTTTATTTGTGCTTGGGATTGCCCTGAGACATGTGTAGGACCTTGCCCTTGGCCTTGTTGAACTTCATGAGGTTCACCCTGGCCCACCTCTCCAGCCTGTCAAGGTCTCTCTGGATGGCATCCCTGCCCTCCAGTGTGTTAACCACACCACACAGATTGGTGTTGTCAGCAAACTTGCTGAGGGTGCCCTCAGTCCCACTGTCCATATTTCAAACAGCGATGTTAAACAGCACCGGTCCTAATACTGACACCTGAGGAATGCCACTCATCACTTCTCTCCACTCAGACATTGGGCTGTTGACTGCAATTCTTTGAGTGTAACCATCCATCCAATTCCTTATTCGCAGAGTGGTCCATCCATCAAGTCCATGTCTCTCTGCTGTGGTTCAAGCCCAGAGGGCAACTGAGTACCACATAGCCACTCTCTCAATCTTCCCCCTCCCCTGGTAGGATGGGGAGGAGAAAATATAACAAAAGGCTCAGGAATCAAGACAAGGAGAGGTAGGGATGACTCACTAATTATGGTCACAGGTAAAAGACAGACATGATTTGGGAAAAAAGGAGAACCATCAATTTAATTTGAACACCACCGCCATTAATGTACCAATCAAATCAGAGTAGGATAATGAGAAATACAACCACATTTAAAAAAAAAAAAAAAATCTCCCCACCCCTCCATTCTTCCTGGTCTCAGCTTTGCCTCTGATTTTCTCTACCTCCTCCCTGCTAGCGGATCAGGGGACAGGGAATGGGGGTTGCAGTCAGTTCATCACCTGTTGTTTCTGTCACTTCTTCTTCCTCAGGGGTAGGATTCACCATCTTCTGCTCTAGTATGGGGTTTCTCGCAGAGGAGACGGTCCTCCACGAACTTCTCTGACATGAGTCCTTCCAACAGGCCTGCAGTTCTTCATGAACTGCTTTAGTGTGGGTTCCTTCCATGGGCTGCAGTCCTCCCAGCGACAGACTGCTCCAGTGGGAGCTTCCCTCAGACTCTTGGCCTTCTTTGGGCCCAGCCACCTGCTCCAGCACGGGGTCTTCCACAGGCTGCAGGTGGGCATTTGCTCCACCGTTTACCTCCACATGCTGCAGGGGGACAGTCTGTTGTCTCACCATGGGCTGCAGGGGAGTCACTGCTCCAGCACACCTCGCCTTCCTCCTTCTTCAGTGACCTTGGTATCTGCATAAGTGTTTCCCTCACTCTTCCTCCAGTCTCTGCTTCAGGTTCCCCTTCTTAAATATGTTATCACAGAGGCACAACCACCATTGCTGTTTGGCTTGGCCTCAGCCAGAGGTGGGTCCGACTTGGAGCTTGGGGAGCTTCTAGCAGCTTCTCACAGGACCCCCTCCCTGTAGCCCCTCTCCCGCTACCAAAACTGACCACATAAACTCAATACACTCTCCAGTTTAGAGGCAAAGATGTTGAGTGGAACAGTGTCAAGTGCTTTGCACAACTCCAAGTAGATGATGTCAGTTGCTCTTCCCTTATCCACCAATGCTGTAACTCCATTGTAGAAGGCCACCAATTTTGTCAGGCACAGTTTGCCCTTGGTGAAGCCATATTGACTGTCACCGATCACCTCCTTATTTTCCATGTGCCCTAGCATAGTTTTCAGGAGGATCTGCTCCATGATCTTGCCGGGCACATAGGTGAGACTGACTGGCTTGTAGTTCCCCAGGTCTTCATTTTTTCATTTTTTAAAAATGGGAGTTATGTTTCCTCTTCTCTGGTCAGAGGGAACTTTGCTGGACTGCCACAACTTCTCAAATATGATGGATAGTGGCTTATCCACTTCATCTGGCAGTTCCCTCAGGACTTACAGATGCATTTCATTAGGTCCCATGGACTTGTGCAGCTTCAGGTTCCTTAGATGGTCTCAGTCCTGATCTCCTACAGTGGGTGGTTCTTCATTCTCCCAGTCCCTGCCTTAGCATTCTGCAATTTGGGCAGTGTGGCTGGAGCCCTTGCCAGAGAAGACTGTGTTCAAAAAAGTCATTGAGTACCTCAGCCTTCTCCATATCCTGGGTAACCACGTCTTGTTTCCTTCCAGAGAGGACCCATATTTTCCCAAGTCTTTCTTTTATCACCAATGTACTTACAGAAGCTTTTTTGTTGCCCTTGATGTCCCTGGCCAGATTTAATTCTATCAGGGCTTTGGTCTTCCTAACCTGATCCCTGGCAGCTCAGACAGTTTCTGTGTTTCTCCAAGGCTATCTGTCATTGCTTCCACCCTCTTCAGGCTTCCTTTTTATGCTTGAGCTTGTCCAGGAGCTCCTTGTTCATCCATGCAGTCATCCTGGTGTTCTTACTTGAGTTCCTCTTTGTTGGTATGTGTCACTCTTGAGCTTGGAGGAGGTGATCCTTGAATATTAACCAGCTTTCTGGGACTCCTCTTCCCTCCAGGGCTTTATCCCATGTTACTCTGCCAAGCAGATCCCTGAAGCAGCCCAAGTCTGCTCTCCCGAAGTCCAGGGTAACGAGCATGCTGTGCACCCTCCTCGTTGCCCTAAGGATCTTGAACTCCACTATTTCATGGTCACTGCAGCCAAGGCTGCCCTTGAGCTTTGCACACTCCACCAGCCCCTCCTTGGTGAGAACAAGGTCCAGCATAGCATCTCTCCTTGCTGGTTCCTCTATCACTTGGAGAAGGAAGTTGTCATCAACACATTCCAGGAACCACCTGAATTGCTTATGCCCTGCTGTGTTGTCCCTCCAACATACAAAGGTGGTTGAAGTCCCCCATGAGGACCAGGGTGTGTGAACATGAGGCTGCTCCTATCTGTCTACAGAGAGTCTCATTTGCTTGATCTTTCTGGTCAGGTGGCCTGTAGCAGACCCCTGTCTCCTGTCCCTGCCTTACCTTTAATCCTGACCCATAAGCTCTCAGTTGGCTCCTCACCAATCCCCAGGCAGAGCTCCATGCACTCCAGCTGGTTGTTTATATAGAGGGTGACAAACCTCCTTGTCTCCCCTGCCGGTCCTTCCTGAAGATCCTGTATCCTTCCATTCCAACACTCCAGTCCTAGGAACCATCCCACCATGTCTCCATGATGCCAATAAGATCGTAACCTTGCAGGCATGTGCACATCTCCACCTCCTCTTGTTTATTCCCCATGCTACATGCATCTGCATAGAGTCATTTAAGTTGTGTCCATGGTGACGCTGACTTACTGGCTGGAATTCCTCTGTGCTGCTCTTCAGGTGCTCTCCTGCTGCCCTGTGACCCCTCTCCAGGCTCTGGGCATCCTCTGCTGGCACTGCCATCAAACTGATAGGAGTGGAAGAGTTGAGGTTCCCCTCCTCCAGCAACTTTAGTTTAAATCCCTCTTCACCATCTTGGCAAGCCTATGACCAAAGATGTTCTTCCCCTTCTCTGACAGATGGACCCCATCAGCCCCCAGTAGGCCAGGTTTCTCAAAGCGAGTGCCATGGTCTAAGCAGCCAAATCCCTGACAGTGGCACCAGTCCTGTAACCAATTGTTGATTTGCCAGATTTGACTGGTCCTTTCAGACCCCTTCCCTTTGACTGGGAGGACTGATGAAAAAACTACCAGTTATCCAGAGACCCTTACTGCCGCTCCCAGGGCTCTGTAATCCATGGTACTCCTCAGACTGCTCTTGGCTATATGATTGGTGCCCACATGAAACAACAGCAGTGGATAATAACGTATAGAAAATATAGAAACAAATAATAGAAAATAGTGTGTATCATTACCTTAGTAATAGGAGGGTGAGGAAGATTGATGCGGAAAGGACTTGTAGGGAGTCACTGCTGTGGTATGTTGTGTGTGACTGCTATTCCTTGGCAATTGCCCTAGCAGAGGCTCTAAGGAGGAAATCTCTGCTGACCCTTGGATTTTGAATCTCCAGAAGACAAAGCTGTGGATTTGAGTGAAGGAAAATATAACAAAACTTTATGTAGGGAAGAGGTTTTCCGAAATAAATCACAATGTATCGAGACACCTTTAAAAATTAGTATAAAGAGTAGAATACAGTACTTTTCATTGCATGTTATTTTACTGTTTTCCAACACTATGCAAAGAACTTAAATAAACAAAAAAACAACCCCCCCTCTCTACAAAAAGACTAGACAGGAATCCATTTTATTTAATTTGATTGCTCAGTAAGGATTCAGTTTGTTTATATTAATATTTACATTATGAATGTATTTGATTTTGTTGCTCTGTAACTCTCTGGTGTTTAGACAGTGCTAGACAGGTCAATGTTCTGTCACTTTGTTCTGACTGTTACTAAAGAATGTTAAAGGCAAAGGGGAGCAGCAGAGCATATAAGAAGGAGAAACTTGTCTTTTTTAGATCTTGAGTCCCTGGGCTTTACTTGTTTCTGTTCCCTGCAACATTCTGTCACAGGGTTCTTAGATGATTTTTTTAAAATATACTTCTGTGATTTTGCGTGTGGTTTTTGAGGGGTCATTAAAGTGGAGTAATTTTCAGCTAAAGTAAAAAGTCCTCTGTTTGCACCTTTAGCATGCATATTCATCTGTCTTCAGATATCTTCAAAATTTCAATTATGCTTTTGATGGCTTTCTTTGACAGGGCTACAATAGAGGAGGCATATTCAAGGTCAATGACAAAACTAGCCAAATCTGCGAGCAATTACACACAACTCGGGTAAGTAATTGTACATAAGAGAGAAATAAATAACTGCATACATGCTAAGAATCGAGTCTGATTCTGAATGTTTCATGGATGATGTTGAAGGTAGCATAAATTTGCCACCTTTAAAAATGATTGTTCGTTCTTCAGTAACCATGCAAAATATACAGCTATGACAAAAACAAAGACAGTACAGTTCTTTATTCACAATTTAAAAGAAAACAAAGCTCTATCATGGAGAGCCTGCCTGTTTCTTTGTGTTTAAGGTTGAGTTCTTATCAGACATAATAAAGAATGTGACTTTCTGTTCTGTGCTCCCAAACCTATGGTAATTACTCTGAAGAGAGAACATATAGTTGGCAAATGTGGCAGTAAATTTATTTGTTTCTATTAGTTCTGCTTTCTGGAGTGTTATCTCTGTCCTCAGAAATGTTAAGAAAGACATTTTTCAATAGATTTATTCCTTAGTTTAATTAAAGTTTTATACAAGGTATATGTTTTTAAAAACTGAAATGATTAATGGATGTTTTTTCATTAGAAGGATTATGCCAATGAGAACTCAGACTTCTTAGATGAGGCTAGGGTTTTTTTTTTATTTGTTGTAAACACAACTAGAAATGTGGGGAGCTTTCATCAGTGGATAGTTTGATATCATTTGTTACTACTCTTCAGAGATTCTGTATCTGCATGTTAGTTTGAACATCAGTGCTTTAAAGGCTATTGTATAGTATTGATTTTTCAGCAACATTCACCCGGAAACTGAAGTAGGAGTGAGTCTTTAGAATGGCTGGAGAAGTCCATTCAGTATAGAAATCTGAATCTGAGGAATTACCTGTCCCCCAGCTTCCTTTGCCATATGGTTAATCTCTGTTAATCAGTAAATCCCTTCTAGTGGCAGACCATTTTTGCCAATATTTTTTTCCTGCATCTTGTGGCTGTAATGATGTAGAACAACTGGAAACTTAACTAACCAAGTAATTTCTGATTTGTTTGCATTATTCAAATATACACATGAAAATAGTTCCATATGTTGAATTATTTTGAGCTGCTCTTGCATCATCTTTAGGAATACCACTTGGCATTATTGTGTGCTGATGATAGAGAATATTAGTGAGTAAAACACAGCAAAGTTCACTTAGAGTCAATACAGGTAAAACATAAAACATGGAAAAATTAGTAGACAGAATCCCAAGTATGCTTGGAACATATTTAGTAAGAATTTATAGCAGTTGGGTGTTTCTTTGTTTCAGTTTTAGGAACAGAAGTGAGCTTCTGTAAACTTATCAATTATACTTTAACACTATTTAAAAAAAAATAATAGCCAACTAAAAGGAAAAAATCTACATGAATACTAAATACTATTTTCCTCAATCTAGGACATTTGCTCCAGTTTGGGATGTTTTCAAAACCTCAACAGAAAAACTAGCAAGCTGTCACTTGGATCTTGTGCGGAGATTACAAGAGCTAATAAAAGAAGTTCATAAGTATGGAGATGAACAAATCAAAGCTTATAAAAAGGTTAATGTTTTTTTTCTTAAGCATGTCCAGTGACTTGTTAACATTAAAATTAAAATGATTTGGTTTTGACAACCATGTGATATTTGGCAGACTAAAGATGATGTTTCGGGAACATTGGAAGCTGTGCAAAATATTCAAAGTATCACTCAGGCCTTACAGAAATCAAAGGAAAACTACAATGCAAAGTGTGTCGAACAAGAACGTTTGAAAAAGGAAGGAGCAACACAGAGAGAAGTTGATAAGGTAGTTCTGTGACATCTTTAATTCATTGTGCTGTCAATCAGTAACACATTCACCTTGTATTAGTAAATGAAATGCTCAGAAAGGGCTAAAAGTAGTTAAAAGTGGTAGTTGTGACTACCTCATAATGTGCATGATATTTTGAATATCTAATTATGTTTTGTTTACACTTACTTCCTTATCTGTTCTAACTGCACTGCAGTTCTCATTCTTTATTTTGTGAATACCTGCATCATATGTAATTTTGTTTAGTGGCTTTTACAGAAGTTGTGTATAATTATTTCAGCATCTGTTATGTTTTTGGATATATTTCCGTAGGTAAATACGCAAACACTCAATGCACTTGTTATTGAATTAAGGAGTAGGAGGCTTTGTGTTGTCCCTTCAGTGAGACGAAGTAGCTAATTAGAGAAGTATTTGAAGTATGTTCCATTAAGAAGAAAAACAAGTTAACATTACTTTCAGTGCTAATTTAAATAATTCCAATTTCATGGTCCAAAACCCCAGGGGATGAGTATCTTGATGTTGTATTTAGTACTGTCCTTAGATTATGCTGGAGTTCGATCCATTCACAAAATCACAAAATGGCTGAGTTTGGAAGGGACATCTGGAAGTCATCCTGTGCAATCCTGCTGCTCAAGTTGGGGGCACCTAGAGCTGGTTGCCCAGGATGATATCCAGATGGCTTTTGAAGATCTCCAAGGATGGAGACTCCGCAACCTCTCTGGGCACCCTGTTCCACTGCTCAGTCACCCGCATAGCAAAGTATTGTTTCCTGCTGTCCTGATGAAACACCTCCTGTGTTTCAGTTTGTGCCCATTGCCTCTGGTTCTGTCATTGGGCACCACTGGAAACAGCCTGGCTCTGTCTTCTGTGTACCCTCCATGCAGCTATTTATATACATTGGTAAGATCCCTCACTGAGCCTTCCCTTCTCCAGGCTGAATAGTCTCAGCTCTCTCAGCCTTTCCTCATAGAAGAGATGCTTCTGTCCCTTTGTCATCTTAGTGGCCCTTTACTGGACTCTCTTCAGCGTGTGCTTGTTTCTCTTGCAATGGACAACTCAGAACTGGACACAGTACTACAGGTGCAGCCTCACCAGTGCTGAGTAGAGCAGCAGGATCACCTCCCTTGACCTGACATCACTGTAATGTTTTCCTGTTTTCAGGAAACCAAGTAGTAGAGGAAAGAGGTCATATTTCCCTGTATCTAACTATGTATTCTCTTTTTAAACTTGGTGCCTCTGCCTATTTCCATTTCAATTACTTGATCTGTGTAGGACTCTCTTCTTGTTAGAATGATCTTAGTACCTTTTATACTGCTATCTTAGTGGAGCAGATATAGTTGATTATTGCTTTTTCATGAAAGTGATCCTGACCATGTTCTGATTCTTTCATCTTTAATATAAATCTAGCTTTTTTTTCATAGCTTCTGGCTCAAATGACAATCAGTGTTGGACTCTAGATGTGTTTTCCTGCCAATGTATTCAAAGTATAAATTTTCTGAATTCTTGTAAATAGATTGAAACTTCTTAGTAGAAAAAGTTGACTTAATGAAAGGCTTGTTTTTAACATGTAACATTATCCTTGATCACCTGGAAACAAAATAATGTTTATTCTGACTGATGCCTACATGAGAAGGGAGAAACAGGAAGCACTGTAGGATGACAAACATTCTTTACCGTTTTATGCATCTTCCCTCGATACTTCTGTTTGAACAATTAAGCCATAGTTGAATGCTCTCCAAGCAGTTAAAAATTGTTTCCAGTGGGAGCAGGTAACTGTGACCATCACATGTCTTCAGTCATGTCTTTATTCAAATTTTCACTTGTAATTTCAGAGACATGGTGGCAAAGATTATATTAATTTATTTTTTCTTTGGCAGAGAGTAGGTTTTAGGTGTATTGCTTTTAGGACAACGTGAATGATGAGAAATCTGAGACCTTGCAACTTTCATTGCAGCTGAAAGTGTTAACTTGTGTAATAATTTCCTGTTGTTCTCTGACATGTGAACTTCTCTATTTATAGTGACTTGACAAAAAATTCTTGACTGATCCTTATTCTTTCAGTTACTGTAAATCTGCTAAATAGAGTTCTAGCAATTGCTGCACCTGAGAATAGGCACATCCTGTTTTCAGAAGAGATTACTAGTTAATCATACAATGTTCACATGCTTTATTTTGTCTGTCCTGCTGAGTAGTTGGTTTTTGTAGATGCTCTTCAGCACATAACACTCAGATTCTGCTCATCATTAAACATGATTACAAGAGACAGAGAATGTTTTGATTTTGTCAAAATCCCATGCATATGGGGTTCAGTTACATAATGCTTTATGAAAAAACTTATTTCTGGAATCTCTTTCCTTTTCAATGGTTAAATTTGGAATCATCTTATTGCAATTCAGACTTAATTATTTTTAAAAGCAAGTTTCATAGAGCACCTTATACATTCAGTGTTGTTAATGGCATTTGGAAAACAAGATAGACTGTTTTCTTGTGAATTCTCTTGTGTGAATGTGCAAGAGTGAGAATCATGAAGTAAAACTGGGGACAGGTAACAGATGGGTTTCGTACAACCTGTCATGGTCTCCTTTTAATGCCTAGAGGATCCATATTCTTCATGCAGTAAAGTATTTTCAGGCTCTGTTACGCTGGTTTTAGAAGACTACGTGACTAATATCTGCTTAAGCTTTCTTTGTAACTGGAATAAAGGAACTAAAGCTTTGATTCCTCTTCATTTGAAGTCCTAGCTGATGTTTCCCCAGGTGAACAAGTGCTAATGCTATAGTATTACTCATATTTTTCAGTTATTTTTCTGTTGGAAATTGCAGAATATAACTCTCTTTTTTCCAGAGGGCATCTTTGTATAATTCATTTGAAAGTTGTAGATAGTGGTCAACTTTACAAGTCATTTGAAGTGAGAAATAGTTTCTGGTTTTACTGTGAGACAGATGAAATTAATTTGAAAGAGGAGAGGAGAGCTATTCAGAACTAGAACAAATAGTAAATACACAGCTGTCTTTACTGATGTCATTAACAATTCAGGAATACTTTTGAGTCACAGCTGATGGCAAAGTTCAATGAGATAAAGTGAGCAAGTTGAACAAAGAAGCTGGAAAAAAAAGATTATTTTTATATTCATTGGCTTTTAACTTGGAAATAGCAAGGATATCAAAGGTTTAAAAAACTCGCATGTCATGTTTGTCATGCTGTAAACTTTGAAAATAACTTTTTCTCTACCAGAATCACTTCATTCAGTTTTGTTCTCCATGTAATGCTGGGATTCTCTTGCATTTTGTTTTGTCTTTTAAGAAAACTCTCAGAGAGATGATTTTGGTTTATTAGCAACAATAATAATAATAAAAATCAATCCATTATAAAGCCAAAAGGACTATTATAAACAACACTGAGCTGTGTAAATCAAGCCATCAGTATGCATTAACTTCACTTTCAAATATTTTGTAATCTTAAAATTTCCATTGATTGCCTGTACTTTTGAATTTCTGAATTTCTAACAGAGAACTGTGCTTTTTTTTTTCTTTTTTCACCATTGACTCTTTCAGAATTGCACAAGTAACTGTTCATTCTGTATTCCAACCCTGCTTTCTTCCTGTTTTTCTGTTACAGATCTGAATATTTGACAAGAGCCAATTAGTTAACTTCAGCAATACAAATTTGATTTCAAAATAAGTATATTATAAATTTGTCATTGCTGATAAGGGGAGGGGATTTGAATGAGGTAATTCCTTTGTTACCTTTTTATGTGGTTTATTTATAGCTTGAAATAAAAATTTCTATTGCCCTGAATCTGAGTTATTTGGTGGTGAAATTTTGTTATGACACTTCACTGTTTTGGTATTTCCCTGAATACCTTTCATAGATCATCATAGACTTTCTTTTAATAGTGACTTTAAAAACCTTGGATCAGATTGTACGCATGACATTTGACACTTTTTTGTACTGGTCTACAGGCAGCGGTTAAATCAAAAAAAGCTACAGATACCTACAAACTATATGTAGAGAAATATGCTGCATTTAAATCTGATTTTGAACAGAAAATGACAGAAACTGCACAGGTAAGTGTTACAGAAAATTAGTTACCTTTAAAATAGATTCATATATGCTATTTCATCTCTGAAGACATCTGAAATCAAAGCTTTTGAAAAAATGGTTTAAGATAGAATGATCTCCTTTGGTAATTGATATGAACAACAATGTCAGAAATAGTATGCTTGAAGGGCAGACACTAACCATGTATGTTGTGATGACCCTGTCCTCAAATGACACAGTTGAGCACTAGCACTCTAGAAAGACTTTGAAGAAATTTTTAAGAAGAAAACAAAATTAACTTCTGGAAGTATTGTAGATTCGTTGTGATAATATGTCAAATCCTGTGAATTGCTGGACAGCCAAAACTCATTCATAGGAGTTTTAATATTGGGATCCACCATGGTTTTTTAATTATCATTCCAGTGAAACACTTTAGTTACAGCATGTTAAAGTGTTTTCTCAGGGTTTACCTGAGGTTGTGAAAAGCCCTTACACCTGTTCAAGCTTCTGGTTTTTTTTTAAATATACTTTTTAACCTGTTTTTCAGAGGATATCAAGCTCTCTGTATCATTGCATATGCTGTTCCTTGTTATGTTTTCCAGCTTCTTTTTCAAATCTACTGAAAGCAGACTTTCTTTCACTGCCTCAGATTTCAAAAAGCAAACTTAATCATTTCTACTTTTAGTACTATTAGTTGAGGAGTGGTTGACATATTTATTTATATCTGATTCTTGGTTTAGTAAAGCTTTTACAAGGTAGTAATTTTCTCTTTGGTTGAAAATTCATTGCTTCATTGGTTTAAAAGATTAATTTTTAGGCATGGCTGGAATTATTAGGGAGTTTCAGTCATACTTGTATTTTTAACATATAAGTGGGTAAGTGTTAGTGTTTTACTTAAGCCATTGAAAGTTAAGATTTCACAGCATGGGGACTGTGTAGGTTGACATGTAAAAAGCCACCCCGTCCTAAACTGTAAACTGCTTTCCTACTTTGAATTTGATCTAGTTCATCTCTGAATAGATACTCAACACATCTGTTAAAGAAAGGATACCACATACATTGCATACCGGAACTCTTCCTTTTCACCCCCCAGTCCAGGCATTTGCAACAAAGAAGTGCGCAGACATGCTACTGCAAAGTTCTGCTTTTAACATGACTGTTACATTAGGACTCTTGAGAACCTTTCATTGAAGAGTTTGCAGAAGACATCTTTTTGTGCAATATCCTGACTCAGTTCTGGTTTAAGGAGCTGTACTCCCTATGCTTTTCTTTTTAGTTTGAGTTAATTTTGGTCACGTACATTATTTTTCTCTTCTTTTAAAATATCTGTGACTTTTAAATGCTTGGGTTTTTCAATTGTGGAGTATACAACAGTGGTGATTGCAGTTACTCAGTAGGATAAAAAGGCTTTATTAAAAATAAAAGTTCAACAAGAAGATTCATGGGTACTGTGGCCGTAAGGCCTGTTGCACTTCTCTGTCATCGCTGATGTGTGAAGTTGTGTTTTCAGTATGCATTTTAAGTTAGTATTTCTCTCAAAAGTAGCAGTTGTCCTGTTTCCTTGCTGCTTCCTTTGTCAAGTATTTGTGCAAGGAACTACCTTGTAGAACTAATCCAACTAAAACTAATGTATGAAGGAAGGTTGGCTTTAACCCAGAAGAGATTTGTGGCCTAGTTTATTAAGAGATCACATGCGCATTTGTGCTGGCACAAAGGCAGAGGCAGTGTGGTAGCAAGGGTAGACAACTGCATCTTTAAGCTGGTTTAATGTGTGACGCTGGCCTGGAATCACTTGCATACGTGTCCACCTTACACATTTACATCTGTTGCCTTAACACTGTATGTCTCTCACTGTAATTTAAAATATTTGCATATCAGAAATCCCCAGGCAATTTGATTAGGATTAGGATTGGAACTGACATGGGTGATTACAATCACCTGAGAATTTTGGGTCTAGGCAACCTTTTCAAACTTAACTAATATGTATCTTAAACCAAACTTTGGAAACAAGTATAACAGCAACAAAAGAATCATTGGAGTGTAGCATTCTTCCTGGAGAGTTTCCAGAAATAAGAGTAAGTGGAATCAAACTGACATGTGAACACATACTGCTGCTACCCAAAATTATAACTTTTTTGCCGTGTTTCCGTTGATGTGACTACTCTGTATGCTCAGTAAGTGTTCTAGTGACTCTATCATTGTGTGGTTTGTATAAATTGTGGAGCAGCCTGACTTTTACTGTAGACCACACCTTTTGCTACAAAGAAATCAATGCCAGAAAAAATACTGAACTGTTCCATTTATTTGTCTCAAGTCATATACAAGTGTGACTCTTCTGGATCAAGAAGTTCCTGCCCTGTTTGTTATTTACCTTGTTCTGGAGGTTACTGAGTCCCCGCTGAAATAGATCCTGTGAATGGTTCTGATCCACTGCAGAACAAGTTCAGTCAGGTTCCTTTAAATCTTTATATAGTCTCACAGAAGCTGTCAGCTGTGTATTTCTTACCTTACAAGAGAGAGACTGTGTTTATAGCAGTTGACTTATTGCTCTCTGAAACAATAAGAAAAGAAATAATATTAATAACTTCAATAAGGTGGCCTTGCTAAATTGCACTGTAAACATGTCCCCAGTGAGCAAGAAAGCTGTGAGTAATGAAAAGTAGTTCTTGTTTAGCACTGACAGAAAATAAACATGAAGAGTATTTGAAATGGATTTTATTGTCAGTAGATTAGTGAAGGAAAATGTAAGGGCTTTTAGCAAGCAAATTAGCTGGGCTTTTCATTGTGTACTAAACAAACAGACAAAAAAAATGCATTTGAACAATCCACTACAACAAAAGGATGAGAAAAGTAACAGCTTATTTTGTATCTAGAGTCAGAATATGAAAGTGCTCTTTGTTTAGCTTTATTATTTGTGTACCAGGTAGGTGTTACGTATTTAAGCCAGGCTGATATGTAGAGAGAGGAAAGAAAGATTTTTACTATAGCAGATATTACATCTGGGAAAGCCTCACCATGTTTTTGGACTGCTTTGGTTTTTGGTGTATTTTTGGGGGGAAGAGGGTCAGTTAAGATCTTTTTGGGTTGGGTTTTTTCCCCTGTACAAAAGTGATACAAAGTAACCTTTCACTACAAACCACACTTGCCTAAATGTCCTTATTTCCTTAATTTCAACAACCCTTTTACTTAAAATTTAAATTTTAACGTGATAGTGGACACCTGGAAACTTTACACACCTGTCCACCTTGGACATGAAAATTAGCATTCTGCCAGTATAAGTGGCATCTGTAGGATTTAAGTGTAATTGTATAGATGCATCTGCAGTTTGATTGCAGGAGGGCTAATTTAAAGATGATGTGATAGGAAAAGTAACAACACACATTAATTTATGGAAGCCCACTTCTACATGAAGCACACCCTAGATTATCTTCATTTAGAGTACATTTCACTTGAAATGTACTAGTTCTGAAAACAAAATCAATGAGGAGTGTGAGCATTCTCAGCTGTTTCAGTCCAAAATCAGTTGGCTTAGTTTAAACCTGTCTTATACTGTTCATATACTGTTTTTCTGAGGCCAAACAGCTTGAGTTGCTGTGGTGTCATTCTAGATAACCATGTAGTAATGTTCTCACTTAGCTGTCCTTTTTTCTTAGTTGAACTTCACTGATCTTGTTTCATAAATTTTATGTATTTTCCCTCTTTTGTCATTTACTATCATCCCTGCAGTTATCAAAGTGAAGTGACTTGTGATACATGATTTTCAGGGGTTGAATTTTGAAACATGATCTTCCTAATCTTGAAATTCAAGTTATGGCTTTTGCTGCAATAAACCTGGAAGGTTTTATTGTGGTTAAAGAAGTAGGAAAATATAGGTCACTGTTGTTTAGAAACTGGATTTGACAGAAATTCCTCATGTTGAAAGATTTTTGTGAGTAAAGCTATATTTGCTATATTGCAATAATGGTAATATCTGCAATTGCTATGCAGTTCCTAGGAAAACATGATGTCTTATTTGACAGATTTTCCATGTTGATAGAAGCTTTTTAAAAAATTGTGTAGCACAGTCAAATATTGGAAAAGGAGCAAATTCCTGAAAGTGCTAAATTTTTCTTTAAAAGTCTTCTATCTTATCTAGAACTGAGTAGAGTTGAGTTTGTATGATTTTGCTGTTGAGCAATCTGCTTATAAATAGAGGTCAAGAATGAGTAATAATTAATTTTTAAAAAACATTGTAAAACTTACAGGAAAACATACATGTTTATAAAAAGGAGTAACGCTTGCTTAAACTATGTATTCTGAGTTGGACAGCTGAAGATCCTGTCGATGATGATTTTTCATTTCTATTGTAGCTTAAAACACTAACTTCTTAGTGTTTTGTTGGGTCACTAGTGTTACAGATTCATTTCAGTACATCTTTTTAAAATGGACTGATCTTTCAAAGTGGAAGTAAACAATTTGGTTTGAATAATGCAGTTGTATTATAGTACCTAGCTGTATTCTTTGATCAGGACTTCTTTGTATTATAATCTGTACAAGGCCAAGATGGCTCTATTTCAGACTTTAACTCCTAAGTATAAAACAATAAACAAGAAATAAGGAAAAAAATCTGGTAGGGAGATGCTTTCCACTGACATAAGAGAGAAAAAAGAAATCTCTGAATGGCCAACTGTTTTGATATGGATTATAGAGATGAGTTTAAAGGAGATTGGTATGTCTGTTTTGCAGTTTATAGGGAGTTTATCTCCATAAATGCTTATCATGTTTATCAAACCAAACATGAAGGAAGCATCATTGGAATAATCTCAAAAGTAGACTATTGTGTTTAGGTTAAAATTAGGTTGTGGAAACAGGCACACATGGGAAGGACACATTGTGCGTATGTGTTGACACCCCAATTGTGACTGAGCAGATATTATGGAGATGGACCATTGATAGTTTTGAAAACAAAATTATACAGTTTATATAATAAGGCAATAAGTAAAAGAAGTAACATCATAGAGTAGGTTACAGAGGATGACCGTATATATCCTCTGTAATTAAGAGGAAGTCTGATGGAGAAAAAAATAATATTAATCTGCATGAATGATGGCTAGAGAGGTATGTAAGACTGGAAAAAGAAAGATTGAGAGTTCAGGAGTTAGAGACATTTGACATGTCTGTTTGGAGTCGTGTTTGTCAATCAGAGTAGTGTGAATCAGGAGGTGTGAAATGTGGAGAAATGGTCTTCAGAGAACCTTGTGCCAGTTGGAGAAAGGATTAAGTGGTGCTCCAAAGTTTGGACACACTTGAAAGGGCAGTTACAGAAATAGGATGAGGATTAGGAAAGAGCAGGAGTAAACAAAGATTTCAGGACAGTTATGGTTGACTGTTGGGGAGGAAGTTGACATTTTTTGTTCTGATCTTTGGCTAGGAAGGCATCATTGAAAACATTAGAATTGATTTTGAAATGGCTGTCAGCTGGAAGTCTGTGTAAAATGAAACAAACTGCAAAGATTATGTACAGTGAGTTTGAAGATTGAATGAATCATATTTAAAGAAGCAAAGGATATAGATTTAACTTGAGATGTATAGAAATACAGATGTATAAAGCATGTATATATTGTGAGCAGGAGGTGAGGATGTTAAGAAGGAAGTGCAAAACAGATCCAGGAATAAGATTGCTGGGCCTACATGAAAAGATGAGACACCTCAGTAATGGAGAAAAGAGATTTTTGTTAAACAACTTCCAACCCTATTTTCTTTTGGTAGAAACTGGTCAGATTTTTTGAAAGGTAAAGATAGAAGAAAATTTTAAAAGCAAGGAAAAAGTTGGATAATGGTTCTAAAACAATATATTATATTTTGAAGTACATTATTTTAAAACTATGAATTCTGTAGCTTCCTTTCTTAAACATTGTAATTACCATGATACAGATCTAAAAAAAAAATATTTTTTTTTTCCTTTTAGTGTATTTAGTTATTAAAATTTAAGGTTTAATATTTCAAGAAATGTTTTCATTATGATTAATTGCTTGTATTGGTTTCCAGAAATTTCAAGACATTGAAGAAACACACCTTCTTCGTATGAAAGAGATTATAGAATCATTGTCAAATACCATAAAAGAAATTAATTTACAGATAGGAGAGGTAATTTTTATATTATCATTTGTTTCTTTGGATTGTGCCACATATTTTTTTTAACTATTAAATGGAGAATTTCTTACTGTGTTTGTAGTAATTACAAGATCACATCTTTCAAATGATGGTAAATTCAACATATGCAGAAATTTTTATGGCTTTCTGTTCCATTTATGAGTTAGTATCACAAAATTTACAGAGTAAGTCTGAATAAATTGTCTTATCAGAAAACTAAGTATTTTGACAATTTGAAGAATTTTTAGTGTATTTCAAAGTTCTGGTCCCTAGATATTAAATTAGCACACATTTCACTTATAATTATGATACTTGTGCTTTTCTTTGACTAAAACTTGAAATTATATCACTCTGAAAAGTTTCCAAATTTTTGATACACTTTGGGCTTTATGAGCAAAAGATCTCCAGTAACAGAAGCTCTAATACTATGTTTTCTTTAGATGTAAATTGGTTTAAAAAATAATCCTTATAATTAGTCCTTAATTTTTAGATGTTTTGTTGAGTCGTTTTATATATGTAAATTTAGAGTCACTATTTTTCTCAGTTTTGAGGTTTTCTGCTAACGAATGATGGTCACAGGGGTCATGAAATTTATTTCTAAAGCATATACATACTGCCTGGTTTGAAAAACTTCTTACTAACAACATATGGTTGTCCTTTGTCAGATCAGAAACATTACAACCATAATGCTTTTACTCAAGCATGTGGGAGCTGTGATAATACAGTAGTTACAGTTCACACCCTTAACTGGTGCTGGCTTAAGAGACTGCTTGTCTTCCTGACATTGTAGTGAGACATGTTGCTGACAAACTCAGAAAAAGATATATACACAAGTTGTTTAGGTGGAAGAAATGGAAGTAAATCCTAGAGCCATCATCAAGCTGTATTCGTTCATTCCTAAATCGTATCTGTATTGCATACACACTTGATAATACTAAAGCAAAGAAGGGATGTCCATGATAAAATGCTTGTTGATTTCTGGAAGTCCTGTAAAATACTTCAGGGGGAAATATTTTGAACCTTAACTCTAGAGAAAAACACTTTTTAAAGTTAATTACATTCTTTCAATTACTGTTTTTTAAATTCCTTTTGTGTGTGGTGTGGTTTTTTTTTGAAGGTGCATGAAGAATTTATTAATAACATGGCAAATACTACAGTTGAGAGTTTAATACAGAAATTTGCTGAGTCAAAAGGAACTGGCAAGGAAAGACCTGGTAAGAGATTAAATATAACCGAGTAGTAAATGTTAATTTTAAAACTGTAGATTTCCACTCCAGATAAAAAGTCAAAGCCCTATTTGTTAATGTGTTATATTTTTAATGTAGAATTAATATTAGAATTTCAAATTCTCAGAATACATTAGCTTTGATATTAAATGATTCGTTGAAATTGATAACACAATTTATTACATATGTGTAGTATTTGTGTTCATGCAGCATGGCAGTTTGTAGCTCTGAGGCCCTCTACACACACCTTCAAGGAAACTTCTAAACTATACTGTTCCTTGGTAGAACAGTAAGATTTGTCAAGAAACTGAAGCTCCTTGAACAAACTATGTGTTGTCTGCTATGTGTTTCTGCATAAATTATATTTCAAAACTTTATTTAATATAAATTTGCTGATATATTCAGAACAGGTGTCTATAAGGCTGCTTATTGAACTGTTGGAACCGTTACATTAGTTGGTTACCTTACAAAATCATCCTTTTTAATAGCTTGTATATGGATTGTTTCTTTACTAATCAGGAAATTGAGTAGTACTTTCTGAAAGTACTGCTTGGTGCGTTTGGTGTATAAGACTTTCCTGGACTGGTATAAAAATATAATTTCACAGTATTGTATATCTAGCATTATAGGAAAAATTAAGAGTTCACTTTAATATTTAGGCATGAATACACAGTCACTAGGTGTGTGTCAATACAGGAATCCAGTAGTACTGTTTTCTATTTTCCTCAGCATTGGGAGTCCTGACAAGCAACTCTGTCTTCTAGTATAGAAGCACAAAGGGTTTTTTCAGAGGAAGGATGTATGTAACAGAGTAGATCTTGAGAATTTATATAAAATTGTTAAATATGGTTACTAGGTATTTTACAATGCCTCTGTGAGGTGTTTTTAACATAACTTTGCTTCACATTCTTTGTGTGAGCCGCTAATGCTGATAGCCAAGTGGACTGAGATAAGATTATATATGGAACAATTTTTGAATGTTTTCATGAGTATTTTGCAATTTTTCAATAAAGATTGAGAAAGAAGAAGCGTGAACTTCAGTGGTTGATGCTCAGTTGGTCTGAAATAAGAACAAAGACGTGGAAATTCAGTGTGCAGACCTCTTGATTAGCTATTGCCAAAATGTCATGGCTAGGGATCTTCATCTTGTATTTAGGATTCTGACTCCCTGGGTTACAAAGATGCTTGCTAATGTGTTCTAGACCACTATGCAGTTTGAGTCATCCATGTTATGACTGTGTTTTTTTGCTAGATGACATAGTAATTGTAAGAAAAGTAACACTTCACTTTTTAATTTAGTGGGTACACACTCTGTACTTACTTGCTGCTTTATAGAGTTCTTCAAATCCCATTTGTATTTTCTGGGGCCAAATAAAAGCTTGTGCCATAGCAAATTCCATTTCTTCAGCTCTTTTAATAACAAAGTATTCTAAAGAAAGATTGCGTGTTTAGTGTGGAAACGTATGCACCTTGAATTTTCTCATACAGTATGAAATTACTGTATCGATACCAACTTTGTAAAGCAGTCATGGTGCAGAGGGAAAGCACAGGCAAATTCAGCACTAAAAGAATACAAATTCAGAAGAAGTTGTGAAGTGTCAAAGACTAGAAACACAGATGGCTAGTGATGTTAATTACGGTTACTGCTTCTATTATATTCATTTTATTAACTTAGAACCATACAGCTTTGACAATTACAAAGATTTAGAAGGCAGAGTGAGGTATCAGCCTTCTAAGAATGAAATGGAAGCATCCAGTGTGGTAAGCACTGCTTTTTCTTGATTAAAAAAATACTTCTCTGCATTTGAGAACTGCTTTTAATAGAAGGGTGTTTTAACTCATGGAGCAAATGTCAGAAGTCTTTCTGTGTGTGGTGTATTTTTTAATTAGGCTGGAGAAGGAAATGGTTCTTCAGATTAAATATTCAATGTAAAAATGATACTGACTTGGCATACAAAAGAAAAGTACAAAAAGTATCTTATGAGTGTCACTGTTGCTTAAGATTCCAGTCTTAAATCCGTTTGAAGGGAATACTTTAAAATTCCTCAGGACTAAATAGGCCTTTTCCCTTCCATATTATTTGTGGGCTAATATACTAAGTTAGATAGTGGTCTGCTTTCTGAAACACTGTTTAGAGCAAAATAAACTAAAAAGGTAATGCATAACAAAGTACTTTAGTTTATTTCAGTATTTTCTAGCTATAGTTCTACATATCAGAGTTCACTTGCTTTTATTTGTATCTGTAAATATAAGAATGAATCTGAAATGAGGTACTGAGGAGGGTTGTTTTATTGCATGGACTCTAAACAATTTACAGTAAAGTTTTCTAGACATAGGCAATAATTTTCTTCAACTGTCATCTGCATAATTGAAATTTTTCTTTGTACAGTGATGTCCTTTGTACCAGATTATATGGGCTCCCTCTGGTGGCTAATTTCTGTCTCCTGAAGTCATAATGTACCGGGGCTTCTAAAGTTTAACACTGTTTTTGTAGTACGAGTAACGTTTCTTTGAAGCAGTAATGCTTTGTGAGGTTTTTTAACTTCATTTATCAACTTCTGTACAATGGCTCTTTTTTAACTGCTACTTCAATAACTTACCTAGTCATCTTTATCACCTACTTCTTACTGAATTTACTTTAAATATTTTTTCTATTTCAGTTTAGATTTTAGTTTACAATTTTTAGTAGTACAGTATTTGAAGAAGTTGTATTAGTTATTTGTTTTCTCACTTCCATTCAGTGTAATAAAAAAATAGCCACATACATCCAGTTGCAAATCTTTTAATTTTACCTGAAAGAGAAAAAAAATCACTTATTGTATAACACTGAAAAAACAGAAAGAGAGCTGACAGGACCTGCAATAGCCAGTAAGGCTTCAGGTCAGAATTTAAGTGTTCTCTGAACTGTTTCTAACATTCGGAGGGACCTTGATAAGTTCAGGAAGTGGGCCCAGGTTCAGCAAGGCCAAGTGCAAGGTTCTGCACCAGGGTAGGGGCAACATCCAGTATCAATACAGGCTGGGGGATGAAGGGATTGAGAGCAACCCTGAGGAGAAAGACTTGGGTTACTGGTGTATAAAAAGCTGGATATGGGCTGGCAGTGTGCAGTTGCAGCCCAGAAAGCCAACCGTATCCTGGGCTGCATCCAGAGAAGTGTACAGGAAAAGCACGGACCTGTTGGAACGGGCCCAAAGGAGGGCCATGGAAATGACCAGAGGACTGAAACACCTCTGCTGTGAGGACAGACTGAGAGAGTTGAGGTTGTTCAGCCTGGAGAAGAGAAGGCTCTGGGGAGACCTTATTGTGTCTTTTCAATACTTAAAGGGGGCTTATAAGAAAGATGGGGACAAGAAAGTAAGGCCCGTAGTGCTAGTACAAGGGGTGATGGTTCTGAACTAAAAGAGGGTAGATTCAGACTAGTTATAAGAAAGAAGTCTTTTCTGTGAGGGTGGTGAGGCACTGGCACAGGTTGCCCAGGGAAGTTGTGGATGTCCCATCCCTGGAAACATTCAATGTCAGGTTAGACAGGGCTCTGAACAACCTACTCCAGTTGAAGATGTCCCTGCTCATTGCACGGGGGTTGAACTAGATAACCTTTAAAGGTTCCTTCCAACCCGAACTATTCTATGATATTTTCCTGCTGTTAGGTCTAATAGTGGATTTGATACCATCGGTTAGAAGAGGCTCTTGTCATTCAAATGGTCCTGCAGTGTTCATGAAAACTTGTTGGCCACTTCTGATGAATCGATTTTCTGGTTGTGATAGGCTATTGCCTATTATTCCTTAGAAAATTCATTTACTGCATGGTAGATGTCTGCCTTTCTTCCACCCAAAGTACATGTTAATCAGTAACAGAGATGATGTCTATTCCAGATTAATGACATATCAATTTCTAGTTTTCTTTACTTAATCTTCTAATAATCTATTAAAAATTGGTTTATTCCAGTATGAAAAGTTGATCCCTAATGAAATAGGACTAGGGCAACTGCTAGGAAGTGCAAACTCATGTTTTTCCTAGATCTTATGTCCGAAATATGGCAGGATAATGTGTTTGAAGAGGTTAGTGAATGCCTGTATCGCTGTAGTTAGTCATGAGTGATTTTTAGATTTTAGCTATTGAATTACTGTGCCTTCTTCTCATATGTAGGGAGCTAACTGTGTGTGTTTGACCCTGTATTAGTTTTTGCCCACTACACAGTTTACCCAGAGGGTACCTTGAAGGCCAGATGAGAAGACTCAGCTGTGCTGCATTGTGCAAAAAAACAAGAACAAAAGCCAAATCTAGATTATTTGTTTTCATTAATTGGTTCTGGTGTCATTGTTTTTGGCTGTTTGTAATTTAGTAACTTGTTCCTCTTATTTTGTTCAAAAAATTATATTTTTTGAAATAAAATTTTCTATTGTAATAGACAAAAATGGAAAGTCATAATCTTCGCTGGCTCCTTAGTCCTCCAATAAAACAAGGATCTGCAATTATTACACATGCTGTGCCATTATTCAGTGTGAGAGAAGCACTGGGTCATCTTTTAACTATAATTAAAAAAAAAAATCATTGTTTTTGTGCTAACTTGACCCACCTTTCACAATCTGAAGAAGCCAGAACATGACTTGCAACTGCAACACACAAGTAAGCAGAGAAGATCTGGCAGAGAGGAACAGTCGTATGCAAGTTGTCTTCTTAGTGTACCAGTAAAAGTATCTAGAATTTGGGCTGTGGAAAACACAAGCCCATAAAAATACATCTTGTCTCCTTTCATTATCCATCCAATAAATTTGAACTTTATGGAGGGGCTAGAAGTTCACATTTCCTAAAGCACTGTAAAATTAGGGCCTGCAATCTACCAGCACTTTGGATTAAATCATAACAAAAGTACTTCGCAATGTGTATTATCCACAATTGCTGTTGATCAGCCATCACAGGCTCTTGCCTGTATAGTAAAGCATTTGACTTTTGTTCCCTTTGTCCTTCCAGATATTAGGAATAATAG